GCTTTACACAAGTCAAAAGGTCAAACTGGTAAGACTCACCTTTTGAGACCCCTCATCAACAGTGATTATGAATAGCGACCATTCTAGAAACTCTGGCGTTCTCTCTGCTAAAAGGCCTTATATGGCTTTATACTGGAGCGTCATCCTTAGACCTAAAAGAACGCTGTGTAATTTGTTGACGGCCCCTTATCAGCTCTCAGTAACTCTTAATGTTTTCATGTGAATTAATTAATTTCAGACGAAAACTAAATTAGAGTTGAGTCTTAGTTACCAACAATGACCATTTACACATATTAACATTTTTGTACCCATCATTCAAAACCACTGAAGAAAAAAAAACGAAAATGAAACCAATGTTTTCGCTTTCGAGGCTTTTTTCATATTTTGTGATTTTCTGTTCCACGTTATGCTTCTTAGTTAATGTTAATGCTATCTAATGTTAGTCACTTCAGTATGTTAGCAAAAGTCTGATTTATAGCTACTCACATACTAGAATTTTATGTAGAAATAAACAAGAAAAAAAGAGTTTACCTCCAGATTAGTTTGTTACTGTAGAATCTGGCAATATGGAACATCACGGTAAATGCTTGGTCAAAAACACCTCCAGGAAAATGCTGCAGATTTCAGCTGTGTCAATAAAAAAGTGTATCTAATGTACACTATTCATGAGACATATTCATCTTTCAGAACAGCAAATTCTGGCAAAGGGTGACAAGTTTGCATGTAGGTGGTTTAAATGTAATCCTGCTGGATATCGTCCTGTTTTTCATAATGTATCTGTAATCTGACTATTTTCTTTAACAGTAACTGTAATGGAATAGAGGGTTTTTGCATCCTGATTACGTAACATCGTTAGATGTATTTCTACCCAACCCTACCTGTAAATGAACAAAAATTCATCAACAAAAAGTCCTGCAAAATTAAATTCAGCTAAAGCAATGTGACTAACCACTGTTAATTAATATGCAATATACCCTAACTCAGCTAAAGACCAGCTCAGGGGTCAGTAAATGCAAAGCAACACTAATTTTCTTTGCAACAATGAGAATTTCTTCTGGGAAAATAAGGATGGCCACAAACATGTGAACAGTATATGGGAAAAATGTTGAAGCACAGACAGCTAAAATAAATAATAAATAAAAAACACCCCCCAGCCTACCCCCTCCACAACAATCAGGCAAACCTTGAGGATAAAACAGCCTTTGTACGCTGCACGAGGCAATAATGGACACAAAAGATAAGCTTGAATACGAAGTAATACAATTTACTTTCAAGAGTAGAGCTCCTTTTTTCTCGTTACATTTGTATTTCTTTGTGATCGTCCCTCCATTACGGCCCGAACAAAGATAACAAAAGAGGCAGGGAGGGAATGAAAAAAAAATGACCATGTGGGGAGAGAAAGGAGAAAAAGGAAAAAGGACAAACATTAATACAACATCTATATGTTTAAAAAAAATAACACATTCATTAACCCTATAAGCTGTGCTCAGTCTGTTCATTTCACTTAAGCAGGCCAAAATATTCATTAAGGAGAGCAAAACAGTGCATTGTGGCCATAATAGGTTAATAGCCCCTGTGCTAGAAGCTTATAAATGGAAATGAGCTGATGAACAGTGTGTTAGAGTTTGAGTCTGGGAAAGTATTGAAAGTCCTCAGGTGTTTTCTGTGTAGCTAGTGTGATGTATGGAAGAGAGCTAGGATTTCAGTGTAAAGGAAAAATTTTGTGTAAACATTTTGTATAAAACGCACTGGAGCTACATAAGTGACATACATACACCCATCCGGCATAACATTATGACCACCTCCTTGTTTCTACGCTCACTGTCCATTTTATCAGCTCCACTTACTATATAGGTGCAATTTGCAGTTCTACAATTCTCAGCACTGCAGTAACACTGACGTGGTGGTGGTGTGTTAGTGTTTGTTGTGCTGGTACGAGTGGATCAGACACAGCAGTGCTGCTGGAGTTTTTAAACACTGTGTCCACTCACTGTGTCCACTCTATTAGACACTCCTACCTTGTCAGTCCACCTTGTAGATGCAAAGTCTGAGACGATAGCTCATCTGCTGCTGCACAGTTTGTGTTGGTCATCCTCTAGTCCTACATCAGTGGTCATAGGACGCTGCCCACAGGACGCTGTTGGCTGGATATTTTTGGTTGGTGGACTATTCTCAGTCCAGCAGCACTGCTGTGTCTGATCCACTTAGACCAGCGCAATACACACTAACACACCACCACCATGTCAGTGTTACTGCAGTGCTGAGAATGATCCACCACCCAAACAGTACCTGCTCTGTGAGGGTCCATGGGGGTCCTGACCACTGAAGAACAGGGTAAAAGGGGGCTAACAAAGTATGCAGAGAAACAGATGGACTACAGTCTGTAATTGTAGAACTACAAAGTGCACCTATATAGTAAGTGGAGCTGATAAAATGGACAATGAGTGTAGAAACAAGGAGGTGGTCATAATGTTATGTCTGTTTGTATGCAAATAGACAAAAGTGCAAAATCAGGCTTACAGACTGCTAGACTGGTAGTACTTCTTAGTTATGCAATATGCTTCATCTATGTAAAGGCCTGTGCCAGTAACAAAATCCTTGTATTGAGACAACTGTGCGGAGTGGGTGGTATTTTTCCCCTTTACATTTCATTTGACAACAATGAAATAAAAGCTCCAACTTTCACTGTGTTTGTATTAGAATTAGCGCAAGAATAAGTGTTGCTATAATTATTATTATTATTATTATTATTATTATTATTATCATCTGTGTGAATGAAAGAACATAATAAACTCGCAGTTCAGTAAAAGTAGTGGTTGTAGTATACTGTCATCTTTAATTTGACCACAAAAGTGTAACTGATCTAGTAACAAAGAACAGAACCACCCAGTGCCATGATTCCTGCTGCAGCATTCAGGGTGTTTATACAACAGTCTCATCCAAGTTAGATTCAATGAATGTGGTATTCATGAAGGACATCACATTACCCAAGATTTTTAAAAGCTGATGCTCTAAGTCAGAGCATTTTCATATCTACCTTGTTTGGCGTGGACATGTCAGACCTTTTCTTTAGCTGGTTTGTTTTGACAGATGTGAACACTCCACCCGTACTCGGTTCAACAACAAATACTTGAACCAAAGTCTAAAAAAATCGCGAATCTCAATCGGCTTCCAAGTGAACTCTGGTTCAGTTTGCGACTGGTGGGAATGCATTTTTACAATGGCCTGCACCAAACAAGGGAATTCACCATCAGTGCATGCTTCATCTTCTTTTAGCAGCACATTAGCGCTGTACTGTCTGCATGAACTGCCCGTTTTAATGTTTGACTCTTGACAGACACTCATACTGCTCCTGCAGCATGAGCTATTGCTTGTAGTGGCAGATAAGTAATGAAATAAAAGCGAAAATACATTTGATTTTGGCACACGGATTGTGGATTTTGGCCAAGGATGAGCAACCTGTCCTATGGTTTGCATAAAATATATTAATAAATGAACAATGGACAACAGCTTTAAACACCTAACATGACTTAACGACTACATTGTGGGTAAGGGAAAAAATTCATAATTTGATTTTTTTGCCGAACTATGGCAGGGGTGCAGTAAGATGGACGTGCAGGCAAAGAGAGAACAGGACAAGTGAAAAACCCTTCAGCTACACTCCACATGGGGCCTAAACATCCATCACACAGTGAGAGGGAGGGTGGCCTTGAGGTTAACTTTCTTTCACACACACCCAAACACACACACACACATACTTAAAGACAAAAATTACACCTATGTAAATCCACAGCACACATCACACACTGACTAATTACATAGTAAACACATACACCCACTTCATGCATAGACAAAGCAAACACCCATCACATATATGTATCAATGCATACATACACACAAAGACACACACACAGCTACAGACAGCCCTAAGGGCCAGGTGTGAAGGCTGAGGGAGCAGCTCTATCCACTCCCATCAGATCTGCTCAAAGAAACAGTGAGACCTTCAGCAGGAGGTCACAGTGCTGATTACAACCCAAAACCAGTTTCCAACTGCTACACACATCCATACACACACTCACTATCTCCTCCAGCCATGGCTAGAGACAATAAGAACTCTCTATCGAGGAGCAGAATTGTATCCTATAACAGGCAGAGTCAACACTAAACAACTGCAGACTTCCTCCATCACAGAGGTTCTGCTGTTCAGGTCAAGTTCCTCTCCAGACACTAACTCATTTATCCTGCAACATACACTATTCAGCACTAACAACTCACAGCCCTAATGCAGAACAACCTGTACCTGACCGAATCAAAATCTCTGCAGTGAACACCAGCATTCCTCCCTTCACTTCTTTCCTGGGCCAGAAATCGCTTGGCCTACAAGTGCTTTAAACTTTAGTTTTCACCCAAAATTCTGCAATCAATATATACAGTTCACCAGACAAATGCAAGATGTACGCAATAGAACAAGCACATTCCCTATCAGTACCAGGTTTCCTCCATCATGGAGCTTCTAAGGTTAACATTTTAAAATGAAAAATTTGGTGAAAAATCAAACTTACACCATTTTCCTAACAGTTCCCAATTCCCTCACTTTCCCTAAATGCAGTCAGTCAGCCAAGAAAAACAGTGGAGCTAAGCAATCATTGCTGCAGGTGAGAATAACGAATAATGTTTAAGTTTAAGACCACCAACTGGACAAAAGTCAGGACGAAATTCGGGATTCATAGTGGCTGGTACTACTGCTTTTAGTGGTGTACTTACAGTTTAGAACCTTATATCAGACAATGTGTAAGTCAGATACAACACATTTTGCATGACATTAACTGGTGGAGTATAAGTTTCTATTACTTGTCAGCAACATTAGCCTCGCAGCTCCACTGTAAAACTGAAGAAGCAAACTTGCAAAAGTACTGCTTTACTTCGAGCCCCTAAAAATACAGAAAATTCCCATCACACAACTGAAAAAGTTCCTTGTAAAGGTGTGTACTGCTACTCACCAGCACACTTTGTGCGAGCTCTGAGTGGTGGGCCGGGGGCCCCAGTGCCCCCTTCCAGTGGCCGAGTGAGCAGCACGCTGATCTCGTACTCTGTGTCTGGGTCCAGGTGGCCGATCTTGTGCGATGTCTTGTCCACGGGCTGTAGGTCATACATGGTTCCGGACACAGTGCGGTACTCCACCTCACGGTTGATAATGGGTCCATCTCCATTGATAGAGTTGGCGTTGAGCTGAATCCACAGGTATGTAGCACCCACTGCTGTCAACTGGGGAGGGGCGATGGGCACCGGGGGCTCTGGAAGGGGAGAAGCATGTGTTAAGGTTCTGCAGTGTATGCTGTGAGAGATAAAGGATACTGTGCTGTACAAATGAAGGGAACAAGATGCTAGCAAGAACTGAACACATAGATATAGAATTTTTCCTTGATTGTACAAGTTGACTAAGACTTCACTGTCATAAAATTCAGCACACAGTTGTACAAAGTTTAGGTACCTCTGCTCTTGTATTATTGTTAAGATATTAAAGCAACAGTTATGTGGAAAAATAGAAAATGATACAATTGCACTCTTAAGCCGAAAGTAGTCAATCAGCCAAGACATGTTTGGCGTCTAAAGTCCTTCTTTAGATTTGCACTGGAGCTATGTAGCTGACGTAACTAACAAGGTTACACTACACCAATTAGCAATGTGCAAACTGCATGCCTAAATCATCACGCACTTGCCTCAAACTGCATCAAGTAATCTCGAATTGACTTACTTATGTGGTTTCTGACACTGTATGACATTATCTATAAAAGTGAACAAGAGTAGTAGCAACTCTACTACAAAAAAAGAGCAAATGACAGACACCAAACATGTCTTGGCTGACTGACTATGTTTGGGGCAAGTGGAAAAATTATGCTTTTTTCAAATAACCATTGATTTTTTCAATGTATATTCTATGTATGTGATTGTGATAAAAGAGTCTATAATCAGAACATAACAATCATGTTAGTCAGCTGTCTGTTGTCTCCACTGTTAGCCTGCAGGATTTAGACAGTTTGATCTTATTACTATGGATGTGTAATACTTGTCTTGAAGTATACTCCTGCACTGCACAGTATTTCCATGTTCATGGAAGGGCTTGTTAATTAACTGCCAAATTGAATCAGGTGAGAAAAAAACTACATCACACAGGTGTACTCTCTAGGAACTGGGAAGAAACACTGTTGCCTTTAGAAGAGGTCTGGGAACAGTCCAGATGTTCTTCTCAGAATAAAACAGAATGGTGCATGTGACAGGAAGGCAATCCTGGACTGTCCCTAAGGTAGTGACGTAAGTAGAGGATGTATCTGGGAAAATGTCTGTTGATCAATAAACCTCTTGTCCATGGGTGGTGTTATTGATGAAAAAGGCCCCTGTGTGTGTTTGGGAAGGTGCTGTTATAAGAGCTACAACAATCAGGAAAAAAAATCCTGCACAGATGACATCTTTTACTGATTGCAGCTCCGACGGGAAAAGACAAGGTCAGAGAAATCGCTCCTCTATGCTCTTTATTAATGTACAGAACGGAAAAGCTCGAGCCTAAGTGCAGGAGACAAGCTGAATCTTCAAAGTCACTGGCAGCAGAGATATTGCACAGAGCAGGACGGCACAAACTGCTTAGCTTCAAAATATGAGGCTCAGGATCGCTTTAAGTTTATTGACACGCCTCAAAGGGCTATTCCCAATCAATAAAACATTTGTCTGGGTGAGGCGTTGTTTTACAGCTCAGAGGAAGACAGTGTGTGTTGGGGTGGGAACCACTAGACACGATGAAGAATTTGTGATATGCTAAGTATGACAATATGACTACCAATATGACTACCAAAAAATTTTGTGATAGTTGATTATCCACATGAATTAATCAATGAATAACAGATTAATCAGTTTAAATGTGGCCTGTCAATGTGAAGAGCAGTAACAAAAAAGCCTGTCATTGTTTTTATTTATTTTTTTAAATAAAATAATGTAAAATAAAATTATAACAACTTAACATCTTGTTTGTCACTTTGTTTCACACATCTATATTAAGTCCGTCCTAACTTTCTAGCTACTATAAATGATAAGCAATAACAAAAAGGGATATAACAATGAATATGTATATTAACATTATAGCTCTTTAGGCTGCAGCATTATGTAAGCACATCAGTATCAAAAATTAAAATAAAAAATGTAATATGCAAAATGGCAAAGCAATCCTAAGTTTGAATTTACATTTTCCACTGGTGCACAAGTATTGACATTTCTTTTACAGAGATCTAGATGCATTACAAGTAGCTTTATTTAAAGTTAAATGTATTTCCAGAACTGCATATTCATGACTTATGTGATTATGCAACAATGGTGTCAAAATGATCATTAAAATGTAATCTAACTTTTACGTATTTGCACTCTCTAATAATGTTTTTTGAAATTGCATTATCAAAGAGAACACCACGATAGAAAGATGTCAAAATTCAAATGTAAATGGAAAACAGCGCCATTCCTCTTTGCAATTACAAATTCCTGCGCGCATTCTGTGTCACAATGTCTTTGAAAATGCATTTGACCAGATTGCATTTTCATTATCATGGTCCTCCCAACCTGTCAATCATCCTGTCAGGGCGGGGCCGACAGCATGCGCAGCAAAAAAGGTTTTATCTAAAAACATGGAGGCTAAAGAGTTTACAGCTACTCTTACATTAGCAGATGAGGTGAAGAAGAGAAATATAGCCACTTGCAATGCTTAATGTCTTTATACATGAAAGTGTTTAACTGAATGTGTGACCAAGTTTTCTGGTTTATCAATTTCAGTGATAAAAACAAGGCTGAACTTGACTTCCTTCTTGCCAGCTTCTTCTTCACATTTTCTGTCCACCTTAAACAATGCAGCAGTTACATTCTGGTGCCTCAGTGCACCCAAATGTAGCACTGTTTAAGGTGGACTGAAAAATTCAGAAAAGAAGCCAACTTCGGCCTTGTTTTATAAACTGAGAATGGAGGCAGAAAGTGAGACTGGACATGGACATCTACAAAGTGAGCAACAGAGGTGGATATATTGATCTACCATCTGCTGATTTTCCCAGCTAAATAACCCAGCTCACTGCATCACACACATTTACCAGCAATTTTTGTAATATTCATTTAAAAAAAAAAAGCAGGACGTTAGAGACCCCCTACCGAAATATGACACGGTACCGACAAGTACAGCGGCTACTGCCAACTCAAGCTGGTTGTGTGATTTACACATGTCTATATTTACCAGTACAGTTACAACTTCACCATTTTATATGTACACTTTTGATAACAGATAAAGTGGAACACAGCAATATCCAAACTCACTGTGTACATTAAAAGATAGACATCGATGCTGGACTATCCTCTATCTGTATCCTATGGTCAGCTATCACAGACAATAATTTCGACCCATGGCCACTTATTAAATCAGAAAAACGTTCAATTAAAGATTCTTGGTGGATCATGTATAAAAATATAATAACCATCAGAAGTGGATATATTACTCCATTTCACTCTATCTTCTAACGGAACTTCTAAGCTTCTAAAACCTTTCTGCTTTTGGCCCCACCCCGATGGGATGATTGACAGGTTGGGAAGACTGTGATTTATTTTTTCTTTTTGACAACTTTCAAGCTGGGTGTTCTCTTTGATAATTCAATTTCAAAAACATTACTAGACCATGCAAATGCATATGAGTTTAATCCTCATTTTCCCCCGACAGCTGCCTTCCTCATCTTTCACTCACTGTTTAAACACCTCAAACTCAGCTGACTGGAGGTCAGGAGTTGTAACACTGTGCCAGTTATGAATTCTAGATCGGATCTTTTGGCGCTACCTGCAGGCGAAGGCTGTTGCTCAATATGCATTCTTGGTATTAAGATACACCCAAATGCTTCTCTGTGGACTGCTGCTGCTAACTTGCTAAAGGCCTACAGCTTAAGGTTTCCAGGTGGAACTCGTGCTTGTGAAATTTGATTCCGCATTACCAAACCGTGATCTTCATACCTTGACCGTACAAGATGAATACATGTAACATTACATCCCTACATGAAAAGAAGAATTTTGTCTTTTAAATGGTACGGTATGATGACCAGAGGCATATGTTCAGTTAGAAAGGTCCATTTTGAAAATCTTGATAACACTGATATTCATACTTGGGCATCCGTGTATCATGGCAAGACTGTGGTGTATTGATTTTTTTTCTCTTACCACTATGTATGTGTATGTGTCTACCTGTGTGGTGAAAGGGGATATAGCTGTCTTTGTCAGTACAGTATATAGGCTGGCGGTGAAAACACTATGCTTGCACATTTCCCTCTTACAGTCAAAACAAAGACAGACACGCTCTGTAAGCTTCCCATTGTGCTGTTCCAGCTGCATCTGCTTCACAAGTCACAGGAAGAGCTGACTGAGTCAATCAGGCAGCCAGGTCAAACAAACTGCATTATTGATCAACAAAACCACTTCATCCAAAAGTAAAATTTCATTTATAAATCTTGCTGAGAACTGAGGTATGTGTATGTGTGTGTAAGAGAGAGAGAGAGATTGGCCCAGCAGAACTGTTCATTTTGCGAATGTGTTTATATGCATGGCTACAGCTAAGACATTATCATTGATGAACACATCAAAACTTTATGCCTTTGGCAGGCTCGGTGCTAGCTGTGCAGGCTGTATCCTGTAAGATGGCATCACTGGGGAGAATATATGCCCACTGGGCCAGGCAGAAGTGATGGATGCCCACCACAGGGCCGTTACACTATAGCCAATATGATAATAAACAGTATTTCATATTTATTGCAGAATTCGTCTGACCGTACAGATCGATCATGAAAGAAATACTGACACAAAGTAATGAATAAATAAACCAAGTTTAGGAATGCGTGTGTGTGCCCATTTAAGGCACAGTATACTGCACTATAAAAACATAAACACCTAAAACTCAGAATCAGAAGGCAGAACTAAAAGCATAGGATATTTACATGTTTACATATTTGTGTGGTAACTTTACAGGCGAAGGCAAAACATTCTTAACTTTTAATGGAAATTAATGAAACTTCTGAAAGTTTTTTTTGTCTGTTCATCATAAAATTTTAACACAATGCAAAGGTTGACTGGAGTTTTCAAATTCTGGAAAAAGGAAACAACAGACAGTGTGACAGTGACGATATGTTAGCAAATAGAGTAGTCAAGTATTGTTCGAGATACCAGCATCTGAATACTGGAATTCATTACACTTCACGGTGAGAAAATGTACTTTGTTACTTCACAACACAAGTTC